TTCTCTCCACTGTCAAGGAGAAGGGAAGGGGTTGCAGATAAGCTGAAAGTCATCTTTGTTTTCCACAATCAGAAGGCAGATGTATGAGAGGGGACCCTAATTAGAACATCCCTAATCTATGTCAGCTTTAGGGAAGTGTTCCTCCTCTGCCCAAGCCCCTTGGTACATTTTGAGGCCTCCATGTCCTTAGCCAGGTATAAAGACCAGCTGCCTGACCAGGTCTGGCTCCTTGGATAACCCGCCCCATTTTGCTCATCATTCCTACCAGGAAGTTCCCACAGGCTCCTTTGTTGTGATGCAATGGCCTTTTTTAGAGGTGAGTAGAAGAGCTCCTACTTTCTTATTCTCTCTTTCTACCTGATTCTCTCTTTCTACCTGCTTTCCCCCTCGAGCCAAGCAGTTGTCCTTCTTCTCATGTCTCAGAACCATTACCATGCTGTGGCCCTACCACACACAGTAGGTAACTTAAAAGGTCACTATGCCTGCCTCTTTGTGGGCAAGGACATAGTCCAGGAGGTGTGAAGTAACCTAACCAGCTTCCCACACTGATTGACTATCATCATTTAAGGAGTGACTCCAAACACCAAGATGCTGTGGGGGTTACATGGAAGAATGAGAATGATATACCCCCAGGAACTTTCATGCTATCAGGGTAAAGATAAGAACTTCAAGAAATGCAATGCTAATGCAATGTGAGGTTCCATATGAGAAAGCATGCTGGGGGCAGGGAGTAGAGAGGAGGGAGGGTCCACGTGCACTGAAAGATGCAATGAAGGACCTGGATGGTAGCTGAGAACTCAGGAACCCACCCTCTCTTACCACCTAGAGACTGGCATGGTCAGTGACCTGTGGGATGGAGAGGACAAGTGACTGGCTGGAAACTGGACACAGGGATGAAAGGAGCTAATAAGAAACAGCTGTCCCTCAGTGGAGTCCAGCATATGCTCAGATAGGTGCCCTCTTCAGGAGACATTTGTGAGTTTCCTCAGATGCCTTCTGGATTTGGCACAATTCCTCCACCAAGATCTCCCCACTGGGCCCTTCCTCAGAGCCTTGCCCCTGGATTATATGGCCTTCCTGCACTTCTGTGAGATGAAGGTTTTGCTGGGAAAACTCATAAGCCTTGTTGCTGTAATGATGGCCTTCATTTTCCCACAGGACCATGTCTATTTTTTCCATGAGCTCCTTCAACTGGGCCTCCTGCTCTGCCCCCTCTGCCCTGTTGTTGAAGCCACAGTGGCGCATGGAACAAATCTTGGCCAGGGTAGCAAGCTCCCGGTTGTCAGTCTCTTTCACATACCCATCCAGAGAGTCACCATCCAGGTCTTCCTTTCGGGTGAACACCAGGATGGTGTAGGCCAGGACTCCCACTCCAAAGACCTCCTGAAGGCGCCTGACCACCAACTGGTCTTCCTTTTTGAACCTACCCAGCTCTGTCATCAGGAGCACCGCGTGTGGTCCCGGGGAGGAGAAGGCGATGGCTTCCGAGGAGCCCCTACCTGCCAATTCATGTGGAACTCCAAGGGACAAAATATCAGGGGTGTTAATCACCTCAAGTTCCTTCCCAGCTCATTCTCGGCTCCCTCTCTGGAAGGTCTTGGTCACTGGTGTAGCACTGAGCTTGGACTGGAACACTTCCTGGCCAAGGATGCTGTTTCCTGTTGCACTTTTCCCACTTCCAGTCTTCCCCACCAGGATGAGCCTCAGCCTCTTTGGGGTCTGTTCCTTCTCCCTCAGATCTAGATGCATCAAGAGAAAGCAGAGGGATTGGGGTTAAAGCCTCACTCCTGGGTCTGCTTCATGACCTCAGGGCAGACTGTCCTCTGAGGAAGGACAGATTAACATCTGTACCTAATACCTGCTCTGGGCTCACATTCCATTCTTTTTGTTTTATTGTGGTAAAATATACATAAGCTAAAATTACCATTTTCACTATTTTTAGATGTACAACTCAGTGACATTGAATACCTTCACATTTTTGTGCAATCACCACTCATGCATCTCAAGACTTGGAGATGCAAACTAATATTTAAAAATTTAATGTTAAAATCACCCCAAACAGAAACTCTGTAGCAATGAAACAATAATTTCTCATGCCTCCCTTCCCCAAACACCTGCTAACCACCACTCTACTTTCTGTCTCAATGAATTTTACTATTCTAGGGACCTAGAATAAGTTCCTGCAAATTTGACCTTTTGTGCCTGGTTTATTTCACTTGACATAGTGTTTTCAAGGTTCATCCATACTATAGCATGTGTCAGAATTTCCTTCTTTTTCAGGGCTGAAAAATATTCCATTATATGGATGGGCCACATTTTGTTAACTCTTATATATGGACATGAGTTTTCCCCACTATCCACTATAGTGAATAATGCTGCATTGAACATTAGTGTACACATGACTATTTAAGTCCCTGCTTTGACTTCTTTGGGCCATATACCCAGAAGTGGAAATGCTGGATCATATGGTAGAATCCCACATTTTATCTACAGGTTTTGAAACTTCTCAAGGTCACCGGTTCTCACCCAGGTGGAAACCAGCCCTTCATGAATATGAGATCCTGAGCTTTCCTAGGTAGCCCTGGGTGATGAAGATAGAAGTGTGTGGGTCTGTGTCTATGTCTTGTCCCTGAAGTGACTGACCACATCACCTCCTTCAGCTGTCCCAACAAGAAATATGGTGAATATTGGAACTTTCAACCAGATCCCGGGTTCAACAGCACAGAGGCACAATGAGGTCACATTCTTTGTCTATATCCTTGAAATTTGGGCCAAATGTTCCCACCCAGATGAATATAGGAACTATTGGTCAAGAGAAGACTTGAAGATGCCAACTAATATTTAAAAATCTAATGTTAAAATTTTAGAAATGACTGGGGCTGAAGGACAGAAAGAAAATTCCATCTCCTGGCCTTTGAGATCACAGACCCAGAGCACAGAAAAAGGTCCCAAATGGCAGCTCTGGTTTCCAAGTCTGTTCCACATTGAAGACATTGATGTGTCTCAATGATAGAGCCCTAACTTTACCTCATAGCCTGGCCGAGGTGGTTCAATTGGTTAGACTGCAGTGGTCGGCAAACTCATTAGTCAACAGAGCCAAATATCAACAGTACAATGATTAAAATTTCTTTTGAGAGCCAAATTTTTTAAACTTAAACTATATAGGTAGGTACATTGTTATTAACTTAATTAGGGTACTCCTAAACTGGCCTTTGCTGAAAATGTCCTCAATCTGATTGAGGTACATTCGCTGAGGTTGAACCCTTCCAACCCTCCCATCCTCAACTTGTGCATGAATGGAGCGCACCTCCCCTGCGCTGCTTCTCCTGTGGCCCACACCAACCTATGCCCCCCATTTATTCGAAATCCACTTCTTCAAAGTAGACTCACCCAGGACAAAAGCCGACTTCTGCGCATGGGCCACAAAGTTTCAATCTCATTGTACGTGCGCGCCCGCATGTGGTATTTTGTGGAAGAGCCACACTCAAGGGGCCAAAGAGCCGCATGTGGCTCGCGAGCTGTGGTTTGCCGACCACTGGCTTAGGCCATTGAAGTCCATATAGTATAAAAATCATTTGTGTTCAAATACATGATAAATTATAAATAAATTATCCTGGCCAGGAAAATGGATAGATTTCGAAAACTCCTAAACTCTGTCTCCGTGAGATAATGATGAAGTTGAGCCCATGACTGTTAAGTACCTGACCCCAATGCAAGAGCTTTCGGGGGAGATCCCCTTGAGAAGGGCCAGCCCCGTTCTAAGGCAGCCACTCACTCACATGGTGATTTGCAGTCTTTCTGACCCCCAGTGCTCCCACATTTGAACCATCAAGCACCAACATAGGGTTTGTTGGATTGCAAGCCCCCACCAAGGCGAGTACAGGTATCCCTGGGTAATTTCTGAGTACAGAATTAGTTCACATTCTCTCTCTCTCTCTCTCTCTCTCTCTCTCTCTCTCTCTCTCTTTCTTCGCTCTCTCCTCTTTTCCGCACCTTTCTCTCACTGTGCCTGTTGGGGGCCTTTCTCTCTTATTAGGTGAGTTTAAGCAAGGCCCCACCCAAGGGCTATCTGCTGGTGCAGCTCTGACTGGGCTGAACTCTGCTGCCTCTCCAAGGGCACCCTGCACATCACAGTCACCATCCACAGCTGCCTCAGGTTCAGGTACACTAGGAAGTCATTTTACCTCCAGACACGTCTTGTTTAGGATGCTGGGCCACTGCTCCTGAGGGATTGTCCAGGTCAATCACCTCGAATTCTTCTTCCTCCACCTAGAGAAAATAGTATGTCTGATTTTTCAACTAGTTCAGGGGCACCTGACTTTCTCTTGTCAGAAGGAAGTGTTTTACATTGCTTTTGGGGGAGAGGTATGGCTTGAGTGAGGAGAGGAAGGTCTGAGACACTATCTCCTTTAGGGGCCCTCTCTCTCTCTCTCTCCAGAAATACGGGCCCTGTCTCTCTCTCTCTCTCTCTCTCTCTCTCTCTCTCTCTCTCTCTCTCCTCTCTCCGCTTTGTAGTCTGCATTGTGAGTTTAAGCAATTTTATGGAAAAGGTAAGATGGCCTGCAGCCTGAGGAACAGATGGCGTTTGGATGGACAGAAGGTCCTGGAGCTGTCATGTGAGGAGGAGAAAGGAGCAGAGACACAGAAGCAGGTCTGACACTGTGTCCCAGGAGCAGTGGAAGGATGTGTAGCCAGAATGTTCAGGAAGGTGGGAGCAGGACACTGTGGTGAGGGGCTGGCTGGGGGTGCAGTGAGGTCCTGGTGCCAGGATGATCCCTGAGGAAGGCCTGGCAGTGAGGATGGCAGAGGGCTGAGATATGGGTGGCCGGGTGCTGTGCTGAGGAGGCCAATAACCTCAGCACAGGAACTTCATGGCTCCAGGACAGTCCTGCTGGAGCCAGGAGATCTCAGGGTCCACCTCCAAGGTCACACTGCCTGAGCCTCAGTGTCCCCTAAGTGTGAATGCTGGGCCTGAACTAGGTGTCCTGTCGTCCCTTTAACATTCTGGCACATTTTATGACATTTTCTATTGCAAGTCCTAGCCTTTGCAAAGATGGCCTTATCACCCACCAGAAACTCCCGTCATCCTTCAGGCAAGAGGGCAGTGCGCCTTGCTGCCACTTGCACTGCCTCACCTCAGGGACTAACATTGTTCCCTGTTCCAGGAGTCCATCCTGGTGTTTGGGTTTGGGAAGGAAAGTGCGAGGTCCCAGGACTCTGTGCTGGGACACACAGGACACCTAAATACGTTCATAGTCAGGGACCTTCTCCAGATGAAGGGTCCTGGGTGTGGGGACACCTGACTTGCAAGTCCCTAGATCCAGCCCTGAACAGCGCCTCACACCTTTGCCTCACTCAGTGGTTTTGTCTCTGACATGGAACACAGAGAAGCTACACCACACGGAGAAAGTAAAACTCACGGAAGCATCTTCCCCATATAAGCAGGGAGTTTGCGAAGGGCACAGGCGCACAAAGTTCTCCTGACTTTTTAGTCACAGTCCTTTCTAATATACCACAGACACACACATTCACAACACACACACACCACTCACACAGTACAACCACAGCCACAACACACACATACACTCACAAACATAACACATACAAAAACATGTCATATAGCACTCACACATACACTTAAACACAGTACACATACACCCACAGACATAGAACACAAATATACACAACAAACATGCATACACACAAACATACACATAGAAACATGACACACACCATCCACACATATACACTCAAACACAACACATACACTCACAAATATACAAACATACATATACACAACACACATACATGCACACAAACATAACACACACAAAAACACAACATATACCACCCGATACAATCACACATACACTCACAAACACACAAATACACATTTACCCAACACACATGCATACACACAAACACAATACTCACAAAAACACAACACACACAAGCCACACAAAGAGGGTGGGCCAAAAGTAGATTTATGGTTATGAGTACTCTAAACAGTTTATTCTTGTATTACTTATTAATTATTCTATTATTTTCCATATGAACAACTGTAAACCTACTTTTGCACCACCCTGTATACACTCAAACACAGCGCCCACATATTATACTCACAAATATATAAATACGCACAAGCATAACACACACAAAAACACAATATACACAACTCACACACATACACTCACAAATACAACACACACACACAAACATACATACACAAAATATATACAGCCATAACACACAAACACAAATACACACAACACACAGATATACTCAGAGACTTACCTCCTGTGAGTTCTTGGCTTTTTCTTTTGGGGTTGACACATTGTAGGCGTCTAGGGGCCTTGACGGGAGGAATTCCCATAAAACACGGTAGACATTGGAACAGAAAGACATTGCTGGTACTATATTTTTCAACAAAATGTGACCAAAAACTCAGCTAAGAACTGCCCTAGGCAAAGCGGCTGTCTGCTGTGGGTGGAGAAGCAGGAAGTGGGAGGGAGCACCGGGGCCAGGCCTTCCTGAGTCAGAACCTATGCTGTGTGCACTTTGGGGCCTTAGTGAGAGAAACAGGAAAAACAAGAGCACGGGACTGTTATTATTTTTATCCTGACCAGCACAACCAGAATTAGAGGCTTAACAAAAGGCAGCAGACCCTTCAGGAAATTTTATGCCAGGGCAACAATTTTGAACGTTTTTTATCTCATTGTACACACAAACTAATTACAAAAAATATGTTTTGCCAATCTGACAAAAAGAAATAGGTGTCATTTTGATTCATTCACACAAGATGGCTATTGTGTTAACTGCTTTCATTTTTTAAAAAATATATTTTATTGATTTTTTTACAGAGAGGAAGGGAGAGGGATAGAGAGTTAGAAACATTGATCAGCTGCCTTCTGCACACCCCCTATTGGGGATGTGCCTGCAACCAAGGTACATGCCATTGACTGGAATCGAACCTGGGACCCTTCAGTCTGCAGGCCGACGCTCTATCCACTGACCAAACAGGTTAGGGCTTCATTTTTTAATTTGACCGTCTAAGGTAGGGGTGGGCAACCCCTGGCACGCGTGCCAAACATGGCATGCCAGTAACTTTGGCTGGCACGCGAAACCCTCTCTTATAATCTTCCATTTACAATTGTGAATTTTTGTTCTCAGTGATGAATTTTGTTAAGTCTAATAATAGGAGTAGCCTGACAGATGAAAGTAGTAGCTCATGCATATCTCTGAAAGTCACGAAATATAAACCTGATGTAAAATCTCTGACATCAAAGTGATGCAGCAGCAAAAGTCCCACCGATAATATCAAACAGAATGATAAAG